GGAAAAAGACAAAAGACAAAAAAAAAAAAAAAGAAAAAAAAAAAAGAAATGTGTAGTGGCTGGGCGGTTGGCTCAGTTGGTCAGAGTGCATTTTTGTAGCACCAAGGTCACGGGTCAGATGCCCCTACCAGCCAGCCACCAAAAAAAGAAAAAAGAATGTCTAGCTAAAAAAAGAGAAACTCTTGGTTTAGCTAGGTTCAGTAGCACTACTCTTAAATACTGTTCTTAGTTAACAAAGTTCTTCCCAGTGCTTCTAGACAGAAATGAAACAATGAAATTTAAACATTCTTTTCTGCCTTTGTGTAAAAACTTCCATTTTTTAAAGTTTTTATTTTTAGGGGCTGGCTAGTTAGCTCAGTTGGTTAGAACACAGCTTTGTAACACCCAAAGTCAAGTGTTTGGATCTTCACACAAGCCAGCTGCCAAAAAAAAAAAAGTTGTGACAAGAAAATAGTAATCATTCCATATCACTGTCTAATGAGAAAAAAAGAACTTGAAAATTTTTTCTTCGTAAGAGTACGATTAATGCTTATACCAAGAATAAACTATATCCCTCAATGTTTGACTTAAGAGAAAGCAAGATGAACATAAAGTTACAGGTATTTCTACTCATTTAACACTGACAAAACATCTGGAAGGGAGCTGAAGAAACAAGCGTAGGCAGGAGGTTTTGACCCAACCTATTCCACAGAAAAAGTACCCCTACCCCACTTGTCCTAGTCAATATATCTACGTGTTCAAACTGAAGTCTCCCCTTACCCTATATAGAGTCTTGGAGGTGACTGGAAGAAGTAACTATTACTTAGGTAAATTAAAATGTGCAGACATGTACAGATCAGTTAAGGTGCTACCACTGAGATGACAGCTGACATAGTGGGTAGTTTTTGTTTTTTAAGATTCATTTGAGGGCCGAGCCTGTGGCGCACTTGGGAGAGTGCGGCGCTGGGAGCGTACCAGCACTCCCGCCGTGGGTTTGGATCCTATATAGGGATGGCCGCCGGTGCGCTCACTGGCTGAGTGCGGTGCGGCCGGTCTCAAAAAGGACAAAAAGAAAAAAAAAAAGAAGATTCATTTGATTGTACTCCTTCAAATATTTATTACAAGTTATAAAATTTGAAAATATCTTGGAATTGTTTATTACGACTTTGATGGAGAGGGATGGACTAGGTGGCTGAAGGAACAAGGGGAGAGAGAGAGAAATCTTTTACTCTATAATGCACATTCATATTTTAAAATTTTGTACAAGTCACATTTAGAGCACATTTTAAGATTAGAAAACTGTATTACTTGGAACAATATACAGAAACCAATAGGTTAGCATGCTGACGTGTAGAATATAATACCAACATTGGATATTTGGGTTCATTTAAAATAAGAATCTTGATTCATATTTACTGGCACTTCCCACAGTTAAAAGTTTTGGCCATAGTTTTGTACTCTTGATGAGAAATACATAAGCAAAGGTCTGCAGCAATAGGGCCTCCACATTAAAACCTACCAAAGATACTAAAAAAAAAAAAAGAAAAAAAGTATACTCAATTTCTTTATGACTAGACAACTGTCTTTTTCTCCTCACAAGGATGCCTTTTATCTCTTTTCCCCTTTGTCAAGAAGCTTAAGGATAAAGTTACCTTCAAACTCTTAGGCTGTTGTCGAACTTCCATGACATGCTTTCGCCTTAGTTCTCTTTCTCTTCGTTTATTATATTCCAGCTGGTTGGTGAGCTCAGTTTGATGCTGCAATCTGATCAATTCACAGCGCATCTTCTGAATTGTGTTGAGGTGGCGGAACTCCAGTTCTTGCATGGATTCATGCTGTCGCAGTAGCATAGCATGCTCTAAGTCCTTCTGAGTCTGCCTTTTATTTAACTCCTAATCCCATAACACAAAAGATAAAGGTATAATTTACTGCTGTACAATGCCAGAAAAATAAAATCCTAAGAAATGAAATAACCAGGAAACAGATGTAATTAATCTGCTAATTCAATAATGGCTGCATAGAAAATATTAAAGGGCTATGACTTTAATTTTTATAAATGGACAATTAGCAAAATTTCCTTATCATATTCATTTACTATTTATTCACACTATTTTATTGCCACAAGATTAAGACATTATCAAATCTATCTCAAGAGGGTTAATTTCCTTCTGTTCTTTATTTGCTTCCTAATTTTATATTTGAAGAGGGATCCTAAGTCCTCCTTTGAAGTTCTTCAGAGTATACTATTCAGTTCTATTACATGCAGTCTATCCTGTTTAGTGTACTTAAAAACATGGACTCTATAGCTAGACTGCCTGCAATGTAAATTCCAGCTCTGCTACTTATAAGCAGTGAGTCCTTGGGTTATTTAAACTCTGTGCTTCAGTTACATCATGTCTCAAATGCAGACAATACAGCTATTTCACAGATTTAATATGAGGATGAAATGAGTTCATAAATGGAAAATTCTCAGAATACCTAGCACGTGGTGCTCAATAAATATTATTCTTTTTTAAAAATTCTGTTTTTCAGATTAAAAACAAGCACACACATACACATATATTGTAAAAGTCCAATTCGCCCCCTTCTCCTCTGCAAAACATCTCCCTGGAGGCCAACACTTTGGTGCATGTTCCTCAACCTTCCCCATATTTATTGTGACACATCTATTACACAAAAACATACAGTTTTAAAATTTTAACAATATACATTATAGGCTTGTAAATTGCTTTCTTCACTTAAAATGTAATGCACATATATCAAGATGAAATCAGTACATCAAGATTATTTTAAGTTTCATCATAAGCTGCTGCTTTGTGATACCATAATTTTTTCAATTATTTCTCTGTGTTTGGACATTTAAGCTGTTTCCTATCTATCTTATCTTATCTACCTACCTACCTACCTACCTACCTACCTACCTACCTACCTACCTACCTACCTACCTACCTACCTACCTACCTACCTACCTACCTACCTACCTACCTACCTACCTACCTACCTACCTACCTACCTACCTACCTACCTACCTACCTACCTACCTACCTACCTACCTACCTACCTACCTACCTACCTACCTACCTACCTACCTACCTACCTACCTACCTACCTACCTACCTACCTACCTACCTACCTACCTACCTACCTACCTACCTACCTACCTACCTACCTACCTACCTACCTACCTACCTACCTACCTACCTACCTACCTACCTACCTACCTACCTACCTACCTACCTACCTACCTACCTATCTATCTATCTATCTATCTATCTATCTATCTATCTATCTGGTGGTTGGCCAGTTCAGGGATCTGAACCCATAACCTTGGTATTACAAGGTTGCGCTCTAACCAACTGAGCTAACCAGCCAGCACTCCATTTTTTTCCTATAAAGTTTCAATAAATATCTATGCATGTTGCATCACATAATCGTGTTATTATTGCAGTAGGATAGTTTTAGAAGTGGATTTGATGGGTAAAAGCATATATGCATATTAAACTTTAAAAGCTACTGCTACGTTATGCTCCAAAAGGGCAGTATCAATTTATACTCCTGCCAACACTGTCTATTAACCCATGCCACTACTAGGACTAGATGTTATTAATCTTTAAAATTTTTCTTATCTAAATGATTGCAACTGTTTTTATTTGAATTCCTTTAATTATTAGTGAATCTGTACAATTATGCTATATTTGAAGTGTATTTTAATCCACTCTCGGAAATAAATTTATCTGTGCTCACAGGTATCCTGATAATGACACCAATTACTTTCACTGGAATAAGAGTTTCTACAATATTTGCCCAGTCAATAATTACATGATTATAAAAATACATTAAATGACAACACACACCTCATGGCACCCATTTCAGATCAGAGAGGCAAAAATTACCCAATTAATTTCTTCATATTTAAAGTTAACATTTCTTTCATTCATGGATTATTTAATATTTATTGAATGTCTATTATAGGTCAGATACTGGGGATATAAAGAACCAAACAAAGTCTGTGATTTCATACAACATTCCAGTGGGGGAAATAGGACCCCCCCCCCCAAAAAAAAAGTGTGTGCGCGTGCGTGTGTGTATGTGTGTGTAAGAGAGCGAAGAGCAAAGTAGAACATTTAAAGAAGGAAAAAGGATTTGATGGTGAGGGAAGAGGGAAGGCACTTCTGAGGTTACATTCGAGTAGAGACATAAAGAAGGGAGAAAGCATGTCATGTAAATAGCTAGAGAACTGATTCAGGCAGAGGAAAGTACAAACGCCTTGGGACTGGACTGTGAGTGGCACATTTTTTTCAGAAAAGATTCTATTGATAAAGGATTTTAATTTTTACGTTATTCAAGCGCACCTCCCTGACAAGGTCCTGTTCCAAGTTATGACGCCCAAGTAACATTCTTCTCTTGAAGCGACGGCATTCCAGCTCTAGGTACTGTCTCTGACGTCGAAGAAGGTTAGCTTCTTCTTCTGCTTGGAAATGCTGTATATTCTCCTTCTGCTTTGAAAGCCACTCTTGTTTTTCTTTTTTGGGGGTGCTCTGGTTTTCATTCAGCTCCTGGCAACATAAAAAACTCAGTTCAAAATATATAAAAGTTAACTACATGTATGTTATTATTTGGTGTCTGATAAATTTAAATAAAAGTCCTTAATTGTGTTTCTTCTCTAATGCTCAGACAGGGCAATGACCTTGACAAAACAGGTGGTATTTTCTCCTTTCTTGAGCTACGCATGAAATAGTACAGAAAAAAAGAGATATGTATACCAGAAACTATGCATACATTTTTGCTTTGCACAGCTAGATTTCTGATGGTTCCTAGCTTCAAATCACACAATGATTGCTTAATAAAATAAAACACATTCTTCCTTAAAACTTTCCCAAGAAAAGACAGAAGGCATTGCTTTCATGTAAAAATCACATGTGACTTAAAATTAGGGCTAAAATATAGTTAAACAACATCTCATCTCTTCATTTTTAACATTCTTGATACAAAGTTTTTGGCAAAATTATGGATGGACTCAATATAAAAGACCTGGAAATTAAAGGGAAAATCAACAAAGCCACAGGAGAATAAAGACCTCTTTTATGAACGGTACTTAATTTTCAGCATTAATAACCAATTAACAAATCAAAACCAATGATTTCACATATTATTTTAAGTACCATCTCACTAACTACCTTAATGAAAATGTATTTATATTGGGCAAGATGAAAAAATAGACAATATACTTAATGAGGCAAACCCTAGGATGCTAATTAATATTAGTATATATATATATTTTTTCCTTTTTGTCTTTTTTCGTGACCGGTAACGGGATCGCAACCCTCGGTGTCGTGCCCGTACCGCGACCGGCAACGGGATCGCAACCCTTGGTGTCGCGCCCGCACCGCGCTCAACCAGTGAGCGGACCGGTCTCCATATGGGATCCAAACCCTCCACAGGAGCGCCGCCGCCCTCCCAAGCGCCGCACTCTACCGAGTGCGCCACCGGGCTGGCCCAATATTAGTATATTTTCAATCTAAAAAGCATCAATATCATACAGAATATAAATCAGCCATTTTTCCTTGGCATAAGATGGTTTTTCAGAGACTACTAAACCTTATGGTCTTTCCCAAGAGACCAATTCTTTACAACTTCAGTTTATATGATTTTCAAACACACAGAATAAAAAGCATATAAATTTGTAGTTCTCAACTTAAGAGTGTATATGTACATATGGGAAGAGACAAAAATAACATGGGCACATGCATAGAGAATTGCCTGGATATATTTTTCAAAATATTCTGCCAAGGAACTTCTCACCAAGACTCTAGTATGTCCCTCCACTATACTAAGAATCATTATTCTAAATAAACATAAACACCCACAAAATATCTGGTTTCTAAAAGAAAATGAATTTATTATTTTAACTACAACTTATATGCCTAAAGGACTATTTAGACCAACTAACCCATAAAACTAAAATCTCATTTTGCTGTGAAACAGAGCTGTACAACCGCATTTTGTATATTTATAGCTGGGAACCCTATTTACATTCTTTTCAAACTCAGGGTTCCTATACAAAGTTTGTCTTTTATATTATAGTCATGGGAATATATTGCAGGTTACACCCCTTAGAGTTGGAAAAATTTTGCCAATGAAGCTTACTTGGCAGGATATATAGCAAGTCTTTGTGCCACCAATATGTATACAAGACTTATATATCTGATTATAAGGCAAATTCCTACACACACACAATTTGTAATTAATATCAAAAAATTACATTTATTTTATCAATATCGATTTATCACAGCATGCTAATTAATCAAATGGACTAGAAATTTCAGTCTGTAGGAGGGGAGATAAATGAAAAGACATATCATTTTTCTGAATAGTGTCCTGGCTACTATGCAGAATAATTATTCCCTTTCAGAAACTGCCTTAAGGCTTTCTTCAAAGTTAAGAGTAAATCTGTTTTTAAAAGTTCAAAGAGCAGCATATAAAGGGCAAATAATTATGAAACCACGTAGCCATAAAGAAATAATCAGCATGTTCTCTCCTCTATTAATGAAAACGTGATAAGCAAATATGCTTCTATCCTTACTCTATATTAAAATTAGCGTAAGAACAAATTACTGTAATCAAAAAGTAAGAAGGTATGGTTTATTTATTTTTTTTTGTCTTTTTTCGTGTCCGGCAACGGATTGCAACCCTCAGTGTCGCGCCCGTACCGGACCGGGACCGGCAACGGGATCACAACCCTCCATGTCGCACCCGCACCTCGCTCAGCCAGTGAGCGAGAACCGGTCTGTATGTGGGATCTGAACCCTCGGCGGGAGCGCCACCGCACTCCCAAGCGGCGCACTGTAGCAGTACGCCACCGGGCCGGCCCATGGTTTATTTTTAAAGTAAGAAATGTGTAGCTTTTTTCACAGCTCAATTATTTTAATTTTTATTTCTAATGAGTCAGTTACTTAAGTACATAGAAAAGCTATTATAAATAATTTATATTTTCAGAAAATAATTCTTTTCAGATCCTATTCAACTAGGGAACTCAGTTAAGAGTAACTAATTATAATCAATGTCTTCATTTAAACTGATATATAGGGCCAAGCCCGTGGCGCACTCGGGAGAGTGCGGCGCTGGGAGCGTAGCAGTGCTCCCACCGCGGGTTCGGATCCTATATAGGGATGACCGGTGTGCTCACAGCACTCTCTGGCTGAGCGTGGTGCGGCCGGTCTCAAAAAGGACAAAAAAAAACCAAAAAAACAAAACAAAACAAAAAACTGATATATATTTAGTGGCCACAAACAAGAAAAGAAAATTTTATTCTAATGGTTCTATGAGTTGATTACCACAGGATATAATTAATAAGAAGATAAATGGCTTGAAAATTTTTATGAAATAAGTACCTCCTTAAGTTGCTCTTTTCGAAGTTTATATTCCCTTTTCTGAGACTCCAGAAAGCTATTCAGTTCTTTCTTCTGTTGGGCCTGAATATGTTGCTGAAATTTTTTCTCTTCATTGGCCATCACTTTAGCCTACATGAAATTTAAAAAGTAAATCATATTAGTTAAGCAGATAGATTCAAAGCATCAGTTTAATATATACCACTAAGTTTACTCTCTTTTTTGAAGAACAAAAGATCAGTAGAAGCATTACCAAACTAAAATACCTAACGAAATTATTAACAAGTATTATTCAGCATCCTTATCATTTGAACTTCAAAGAGCCTGTAAGATGGAACACATCTTTAAAATGATGATGTCTTACAAAGTCAAAATGTTTTCACCTTTTTTCTCACTTAATAGAGTGTACCCTCCCACCTACTCCCTAATAAAACAAAATAAATCTCTCATAATTTATGATCTCCAACACTCTCTGTGTCTTTGATATAAAAATGCTGCTATAAGTTTAAGGCAGGCTTCCAAAAAATACACAGAGAAGAGAATCATGAATGACTTTCTGAGACCTAAATCACCTATGGATAGATTTATCAAACTCCTCAGATAATCAGGGTACCAAAAGCCTAGAAGAGTTGAATAAATTACCCACTGTGGTGCTATAAAACTATCAAGTATCAGGAAATGATCCCATGCCTTTTACTTCCCAGACCTACTAACTTGACATTAAAATACATCAATTGTTCATTCTCAAAATTTCTTGGTTATCACAAAGACTACAAGATGGACTACTCCAATGAATAATTAGCCTTAAGATTTGTTTGTTTTAAATGACATTAATTGTGTGTGTGTGTGTGTGCGCAAGAGAAAAACCACACAGGAGCCATCTTTTTTTGTGATTGATCTGTCATCAAGTTATAGAAAGCTTTATACAAGTTATATAAATGCTTCTCCCTTTCCCAAATCAATTTACTTGGTTCCTGGGAACAGATACTCTAACGTCAAAATGTCATGTTGGTTAATTCTGAGATAGTCACAAGCTAAAATAAGCAAATTAATAATGATGAACCAGCCACCTCTTTTTCCATAGCAGCCTGATGTTTCTTGATAAGTTTCTCCATTTCTGCAGCAAAATTGTTTCGTTGCGTTTCAAGGTCTTTGTCTAATCTGAGGCGGTGTTCATCCATCTCAGCCTTTAGCTTATTTTCCAGAGTCATCAGTTGCTTTTGATGTTGCCGCCTCATTCTCTTATAGCCAGACATCTGTTCTCTAAGCTCAGAATCCTGCTCATGTTCTTGCATTTGCCTTGTTACCTAGACATATAAACAATGGGGAGAAAAGAAGAAAATAAAAAAAACATTTTTCTTTCAAAAGCATTTCAGACCATTCTATTAACTAAGATAATTAATGTAAGAGATCCCAGTGTTAGCAGTTTCCAATTAAATTTCCAGCAAGTCTTGTAAAGAAACAAACAAGCTGGTTCTCAAATTTATAGAGGAATGTAAAGGATTTATAACAGCCAAAACGATCTTAAGGAAAAAAAGATTGAAGGACGTGCACTACAGTAACCAAGACAGTGTGGTACTGGTTTAAAGAAAGACAAGATAAATAGATCAAGGGAACAAAGTGAAAACTAGAAACAGATCCACACATGTTCTATTGATTTTTTTACCAAAGTCACATTAATTCAGAGGTAAGGAAAGTGATTTCAATAAATCCTGCTGAAATAAGCAGTCCTCTGTATAAAAATAATAAACAAAAAACCTTGACCCCACTATATCACTCATACTTGTTAAGCAGTTGCTCCCCATTCTCCTCTTCTGTTACTACCAATCTGCTTTCTGTCTCTATGGATTTATATATTCTGGATATTTCATAAATAGTGTTATATAATTTGTTGCCTTCTGTGTCTGGTTTCTTCCACTTCGCATGTTTTTGAGGTTCATCTATGTTGTAGCATGTATCAGTATTTCATTCCTTTTTATAGCTAAATAGTATTCCAATGTATGTATATACCATAATTTGTTTATCCATCCATCCAGTGATGGACATTTGTGTTGCTTCCACCTTATGGCTATATTGCTGCTATAAATTTGTGTACATGCACTTGCTGAGTACTCGTTTTCAATTTTTAAATTATTACTATTAGTTTTGATTGACAAATCATAATTGCATACATTTATGGAGCACAATGAGATGTTATGATATATGTATAAAATGTGAATGATTAAATCAAGCTAATTAACATGCCCATCACTTTGTTTACCTATCATCTTTTATGGTGAAATATTTGAAATTCACCTTCTTAGTTATTGTGGCATTAATTATTATTGTCAATAATACATTATTATTGACTAGTCACCCTGCTGTCCAGTAGATCTCAAAACCTGTCTATGTGAAACTTTGTATACTTTGATCAACAACTCCCCATTCTGTCCACACTCCCAGCCTCTGTTAACCATCATTCTACTCTCTACTTCCATGAATTCAACTTCCTTAAATTACACATGTAAGTGAGATATGGTGTTCGTCTTTCTGTGCCTGGCTTATTTCATTTAGCATAATGTCCTCCAGATTCATCCATGTTGTCACAAATAACAGGATTTCTCCCTTTTTTAAAGCCGAATAGTATTTCATTGTGTATATATAACACAGTTTCTTTTTCTACTCATCTACCGATGGGCATTTAGGTTGATTCAATATCTTGGCTATTGTAAATAATGCTACAATGAACATGGGAGTGCAGATATCCCTATGACATAGTGACTTCAGCTCCTTTGGATATATACCCAGGATTACTGAATCATATGGTAGCTCTATTTTTAGTTTTTTGAGGTGCCTCCATACTGTTTTCCATATGGCTGTATTAATTTACATTTCCACCAACGATGCATAAGTTACCTTTTCTCTGCATCCTCACCAATACTTTGGATGTGTATATATATATATATCTAGGAGTAAAATTGCTGGGTCAGGGGCTGGCCCGGTGGTGCACTGCTACAGTGCGCCACTTGGGAGCACGGCGGCGCTCCTGCCGAGGGTTCGGATCCCACATACAGACCGGCCGCTCACTGGCTGAGCGAGGTGCGGGTGCAACACTGAGGGTTGCGATCCCGTTGCCGGTCCCGGTCCGGTACAGGCGTGACACTGAGCCCGGTGGTGCACTGCTACAGTGCGCCACTTGGGAGCACGGCGGCGCTCCTGCCGAGGGTTCGGATCCCACATACAGACCGGCCGCTCACTGGCTGAGCGAGGTGCAGGAGCAACACCGAGGGTTGCGATCCCATTGCCGGTCCCGGTCCGGTATGGGCGCGACACTGAGGGTTGAGATCCGTTGCCGGTCACGAAAAAAGACAAAAAAAGGAGAAAAAAAAATTGCTGGGTCATATGGTAATTCTGTTTAACTTTTCAGGAATAACCAACTGTTTTCCACAGTGGCTGAAGCATTTTACATTCTACCAGCAATGTAAAAGAGTTACAATTTCTCCAAATGCTCTATAACACTTGTTATTTTCTGTTTTTGTTTTTATTACATCCATCTTTGTGGGTGTAAAGTGGTGCCTCATTGTGCTTTTGATTTGTATTTCCCTAACAACTAAAAATGTTAAGCATCTTTTCATGTGCTTGTTGTCCATTTGTATATCTTCTGCTGTGGGTTAAATGTGTCCCTCAAAAGTTCATGTACTGGAAGCAAACTCCATTGTAACAGTGTTAAGAGGGTGAGAAATCCGATTAGGGTAATTGAAAGGTGGGGCCTTTAGGAGGTAGATTGTGAGGACTGTACCCTCATGAATGAATTGATCCATTCATGGAGTAATAGGCATGGTTCTGTTGGCTTTAAAAGAAGAGCAAGTGAAAAGGTTAGCTCTCTTGCTCAGCCCATTCTTACCATGTGACAACCTGGTTGCCACAGGACCCTGAGCTGCTGTGGAAAGTCACCACCAGGAAAAAGGCCCTCACCAGATATGTTCCCTGGACTCTGAACTGCTCAGCCTCCAAAACTGTAAGAAATAAATTTCTTTATAAATTACTCAGTTTAAGGTATTCTCTTATAAGCAACAGAAACAGACTAAAATACCTTCTTTGAAGAAATGTCTATTCAACTCCTTTGCCCATTTTTGGGTTGCTTAAACTGGATTCTTTTTCTGATTTTTTTGTGTGTGGTAGAATACCATAAAATTTACCATCTTAACATTTTTATGTGTATTGTTCAATGGTATTAATTACATTCCATATTGTTGTACAATCATTACCACCATCCATCTCCAGAATTCTTCTCATCTTGCAAAACTGAGACTCTATACGCATTAACAATAACCCACTATTCCCCAATCCCCCCATCATCTGGCAACCATCATTCCACTTTCTGTTGCTGTGACTCTGACTAGTCTAAGTACCTAATACAAGTAGAATCAAACAGTATTTCTTTTTGCGACTGGCTTATTTCACTTAGCACAATGTCTTCAACGTTCATCCATGTTATAGCGCATATGTTAGAATTTCATTCCTTTTATAGGCTGAATAATATTCCATTGTATTACATACCACATCTTCCTTATCTATTCACCCATCAATGGCCACATTTTAACTACTGTAAATAATGCTGCTTTTAACATGGGTGTATAAATATCTTTTTGAGACCCTATCAATTCTTTTGGGTATATATCCTGAAGTGGAATTGCTGGATCATATGGTAATTCTGTTTTCAATTTTTTGAGGAACTGCTGTACTGTCTTCCACAGCAGCTGTACCATTTTTCATTCCCAACAACAGTGCACAAGGGTTCTAATTTCTCCACATCCTCTCCAAAACTTATTTTCTGTTTTTTTGATAGCAGCCATCCTAATAGGTATGGGGTGGTATCTCAATGTAGTTTTGATTTGCATTTCCCTAACAATTAATGATGTGGATCATCTTTTCATGTGCTTGTTGACCATCTGTATAACATTTTTTGAGAAATATCTAAGTCCTTTGTCAATTTTTAAATTGTGCTGTTTGAATTGGATTTTAAAATTTTAAAATTTTAATTTTTCATCAAGATAATAGTAAGAGTAGGAATAAGCAAATCACAGATTGAGAAAAAATATTTGCAAGATATATGAGATGTGGTCCCTGTATCCAGACTACATTTTAAAAAATCCTACAATCAATATTAAAAAGATGAAAAACCGAATAAAAAATCAGGCAAAAGACTTCAAAAGACACTTCACTAAAGAAGATATATGAACAAACAATAAGCACATGAAAAGGTAATAATGGTGACATTTTTAGTTACTGGGAAATGCAAATTAAAACCACAATGACATTCTATTTCACACCTACCAGAATGACTAAAATAAAAAAGACTGACAACAGCAAATGTCGAAAAGGAAGTGGACCAACTGGAACTCTATACTGCTAATGGGTGTGTGAAATAGTACAACCACTTTGGAAAACTGACAGTTTCTTTTCTTTTCTTTTTTTTTTGACAGTTTCTTATAAAGTTAAACCCTACAATCCCTCAATTCTACCTTTAGGTATTTACCCATAAGAAATTAAAACATGGGCCGGCCCGTGGCTCACTCGGGAGAGTGCGGTGCTGATAACACCAAGGCCCCAAGTTCGGATCCTATATGGGGATGGCCGGTTTGCTCACTGGCTGAGCGTGGTGCTGACAACACCAAGTCAAGGGTTAAGATCCCCTTACCGGTCATTTTTTTTAAAAAAAAAAAAAAGAAAGAAAAACATCATGTTTACATAAAGACTTTGCCACAAATGTTTATAGCAACGTTTTGCATAACAGCCCAAAATGTGAAACAAATCAAATGTGTATCAATAGAAGAATGGATAAACAAACTGTATTATATTCACACTATGGAAAACTATTTACAGCAATAAAAAAGAATGAACTTTGATAAACACAACAAAAAGTATAAATGTCAAAAACATTAATCTGAATATGAAAAGGTGCTCAACATCAGTATTCCACATGAAAATGCAAATTAAAACCAATATGCGATGTCACCTCATACCTGTTAAGGATGGTTATTATCAAAGACAAGAGATAACAGATGTTGGCAACAGTTTGGAGAAAAGGGAACTCTAGTACACTGCTGGTGGGAATATAGATTGGTATAGCCACTAAGGAGGCTATGTATGGAGGTTCCTAAATTAAAAATAGAACTACCATACAACCCAGCAATCCCTCCTCTGGGCATATACCCAAAGGAGATGAAATCACTACCTCACAAAGATATCTGTACTCCCATGTTCACTGCATTATTCACAATAGCCAAGATATAGAAATAACCTAAATGTCCATAAACAAATGGATAAACAAAATATGGCATATACTCATATATACAATGGAATATTATTCAGCCTTAAAAAAGAAAAAGACCCTGCTGTTTGCCACAACATAGATGTGCCTGGAGGACATTATGCTAAGTGAAATAAGCCAGAAACAGAAAGAAAAAATTGCATAGTCTCACTTTTATGTGGAATATAAAAAAAAGTAATAATAAAAGAAGGAGCTTAAATACACAGAGAGAATGAAACAATAGCTACCACAGGTGGAGGGTGGGAAGAGGAAATGTAGCTCTCCATAGTCAAAGGATACAAAACAGGTATGTAGGATGACTAAATTTAGAGATTAAATGAATTTTGATCCCCATAAAAGCTGTCCCCCCGCCAAAAAAAAAGCATGGTAGAGATTTAACACACAACATGACTAAAGTTAATAAAACTGTATTGTGTTAGATTTTTGTCTTTTTGTAAATTTCTTCTAAAATAAGAAAATTCTAACTAGAGTTTAGATCCTCTTGTCACAGAAAAGTATCTATGTGAGATGGTAACATTAATCTGCTTCACTACAGTAACCATTTTGCTATTTGCATCCTATAATATCATGTTGTAAACCTCAAATATACAATAAAGTTTATTTAAAAAAATAAAACATTAATCTGAGCAAAATAAACCAGACCAAAAAAAACAGTACATTCTGTGTGATTCCACTTAAATGAAATCCAAGAACATTCAAACTAACAATGGTGAAGAAACAGAAAGTGATGGTCTTGGGAGTGAGGAATTAACTAAAAAGGAGTTAAAGAGAACTTTCTGGGATTATAGGTGTGTACAAACTGTAAAAATTCTTCAAAATGAATATCTAAGATCTGTGCACATTATTGTATGACAAATATCCAACGCAGAAGGTAGACTGAGTTATGGTACATAATACTTATAATGAATGATATAGTTACGCTTATTTGTAAAAAAACTATATACTCTGAATATTTTATCTCAAATAAATGGAATTACTGGGTTTAAGGCTACAAATCTCTTCCAGGTTTTTGATTCACTAAATCCATAACTTAAAGGTGTTCTTAATTAATTTGAGGAAGCCAAAATATGGGACAGAAGACTTGCTTGGGAAACATTTAATACACGCTAAGTCACAAAGAGGTTTTCCCTTGCATTGGCCCCTCCTCTCTAAGTATTTATCAAATTAGTCATAAGAATATTAAGCAATCTTTGCCACTTGCTCTGTTCAAAGAGTTATTTACATGCTGCAGAATAGTAGGAATAACATGACTTACAGTAGGGGACTGCATTCCTAACCCCACATGTCATACAGATTCATGGGCCACAGCATGGGATTTATAAAATCTGATTATGTAGTTGATAGCTCAGATAACTCCAATGTCTTTTTTTTCCCATCATATTTTCTAATAGCCTACCTTTCTTATGAAATTTTTTTTTTCCTTTTTGTCTTTTTTCGTGACTGGCAACGGGATCGCAACCCTCGGTGTAGCACCCGCACCGTGCTCAACCAGTGAGCGGACGGGTCTCTACATGGGATCCGAACCCTCGGCGGGAGCGCCGCTGCACTCCCAAGCGCTGCACTACCGAGTGCACCACCGGGCCGGCCCTTCTTATGAAATTTTAATGGAGTTTCTCTCTATCACCTAGTGTCCTTTATCATGCTTTGGTCCTACTTATGTGACTGATCAGGGTTTTAAGTATCCCAGTATAACGTCTTTGTAATGGATGAATAATCCATACTTACTGTTATTTGGAAAATCAGAATGACGGAGTATATCAAATTGGATTATTTGCCATTTCCAAACATTCCCCTCTTTCTGGTTAGCCTCACAGAATATATTCCCTTATCGTCAATTCTTCTCATGTGGAAATACCATTTCCTTTCTCCCTATCTCTAAAACCTAGTAATTTTGAATGCTTAAAGTATTTATTTCGTAAGTACTATCTTTACGCCCCCTAATCAAAAGTTACCCGAGTTCCTATTTAGTACCTTGTAGCTCTCTTCAACATTTAATATATTCTAACGTATTACTTATTTGTGTATGTCTTAAAGACATTACTAGTTGAACATTTCTCAGAGTGCTTTGCATAATATCTTTCTCATAATAGGCATTTAAATATTGAATGAATGTTTTGAAACTTAACCCAAATACAAAAAATAAGATACAATTATACTTAAGTCTATACTGCCAAGGTCCAACGCGAAAAAACATATTTCTCTCTAATTCAGGGGAAGTACATACCAGTGATGCTGTCCGTATTGTAGCAAAATGTTCTCGATTACGATAGTGTGATTTGTGACGAGATACTTGGGGTGGAGATTGTGGATCTGATGCTCTTGATCTAGAATCTCCTTCTTCTCTGTAATTTTCCTCCTCCTAGGCAAAGAAGGACAGTATCATATAAGGTGAACAAAAATAGCTTGTTTGAACCTTCAAAGAATTTAAAGTTTAAAGACAAAAACTTGATTAAATCTTAAAGACAAATTTTAAAAAGTCAAAAAACGGGAATGATGACATTTTATTTTCAACGTAATTAGAATTAGGAGAAAGTATTTCCACAGTATATGTAATAGTACATAGATTTAGAATAAGAAAACATACATGGCTATATTTATATTCTACCACTATATGCAAAATTGAAAAGCTTTAATATAACTTAAAAACAAAGATAATGAAACATGTAGCTAGTATCTTAAATAGCAATAAAAAAACCAATTACTCAAAGACTCTTAAGTTGTAGAAGCAATATAGCTTCAACTATCTTCTTAATATTTCTGCCATCTGTCTAAGATAAGTAATCAAAAAACAGTAAAAAAAGGGCCGGCCCGGTGGCGCACTGGATAGTGCGCCGCTTGGGAAACGCGGCTGGCGCTCCCGTCCGAGGGTTCGGATCCCACATACAGACCGGCTCCCACTCACTGGCTGAGCGAGGCGCGGGAGCAACACCGAGGCTTGCGATCCCGTTGCCGGTCCCCGGTCCGGTACGGGGGCAACACTGAGGGTTGCGATCCGTTGCCGGACACGGAAAAAGACAAAAGACAAAAAAAAAAAAAAAAAAAAACAGTAAAAAAAAATGTAAGAACTGATGTCTTTCCTTGTATACCTCAATTCATTAACTGAAGAGGAAGTCAGTTAAATAGCAACCCACTAATTGTGGGAGTAATTTTTTTTATGATTGATTCCATCATCTAAGAATATAGAAATTAAACATTATTTTGCCCTGAATAACACAACTAGTTAACCAAACCATTCCTAATAGTTTTTCTGTGTGTGTCCTTGTGATAAAATATATGTAACAAAAATTTGCCATCTTAACCATGTTAAGTGGCATAATACATCCTCAGTGTTGTACAACAATCACCACTATTTCCAGAACTTTTTTTATCACCCCAAACAAACTCTACATCCATTAGCAATAACTCTCTATTTTGCCCTTTACCCAGCCTCTGATAACCTCTAATCTACTTTCTGTCTCTATGAATTTGCCTACTTTAGATATTTCACATCAGTTTAATTATAGAAGATTTGTCCTTTTGTGTCTGGCTTATGTCACTTAGCATGTTTTTGAGATTCATCCATATTGCAGCATATATCAGAACTTCATTCTTTTTTATTGTTATTTTTAAATTTATTTTTATTTTTTATTTTTTTGTGGCTGACTGGTACAGGGATTGAAACCTGGGCCTTGGTGTTCAATCCTTTTTATAGCTGAGTAATATTCGATTGGACACATATACCACAGTTTGTTTATCCATTCATCTGTTGACAAACATTTGGATTTTTTCCACCTCTTAGCCATTATGCCCAATAACTTTTTAGCTGTGAAGTTAAAAAGGAAGCATTCCCATTAATTGCTAAGAGGAGTTACCGGACTTTCCAATATTTCTGTGCACTCAAAAGTGCAAAGAATAATGTAGCAAACACCCACATTTCCTAAATCCAGAGTATATACTTTTCCACAATTACACTCAGTTTTATTTTAAAGACACAAACATGGATAATGCAAGTCACTTTTGATCATCACCCACCCTTAACCATTTTTTCACTCCCCAAAGGCAATCATTATGATGAATTTCATGTGTATCCTTCCTATTTTTTAATATTTTATTTTCCACATAAGTAACTTCAGATAGTAAATTATATAGTATTTCTGTATATTTTTCTTCTAAGATTTAAAAACTGTTCCCCATTCTTTTTTGTACTATCAAAACTGGTTTTCTAAATGCAGATAACAGATTAGGAATTAACAAGACTACTGCTATTTTTTTAAATGTTCCAAACTTCAAAGAAAACCTCCTTTTCTTAAACTAATCAGATGAAGAAAATTATTTCACAAAGTTGACATTTTTTCACTGAAATCCAAATACTCACAGGTTTTAAATGGATGACAGAACTGTTAGACATCACTGTGTGGTCTCCCTCCATCATGTCTAGCTCACTCTTGTCGTCTGAAGCATCTGGAAGACTATTAACACTACTGCTTTGGCTGCTGGCACTGATGGACATACTAGGAATAGACTGATTACTTCCAACACTATTTACTGTTCCTGTCCGGCCAACACCATGATCTTGTTCCTAAGAGAAAAGAGCATTAGAGTCAAATATCTGTATTTCTTCTGAATTCTTGATTATAAATACTTAGCATACCTCTCAGCATACAGTCATTAGAAAGAAAATTAGAGTTCTATCATGAGAAATTTCCTTTCTTTGCCAAGACCAGGAAGTTTATCAACTGTTAACTGGTAGAAAAACAAACAAAAATGACCAAGTAAATAATAAAAAATCCCAACCAATTGTGTAAAAAATGACAGTTGATCAGATTTGGGTGATTTCCAAAGTGTAGTATTTTCTACAAACTGTATGACATTTTTTGAAAACCATTTCTACAATACATCTCATGCGATATATACAGAGATTCTGCCTATTTCTCAATGATTCTCATAGTTAATACAAATCTCTCCTTTAAAAAATATCCTATAAATACCTCTTTTAGTTGTTTTTCTTTTTCTTTTTAAATTTTAACTTACACATTGTAATTGTACATACTTACGGAGTACAATCTGATATGATGATACATTTACATGTTGTACAATAATCAGGTCAGGATAGCTAAAATGTCAATCACCTCACACATTTATCATTTTTTTGTCACAAATTAGTTGTAATTATTTATTGAAGCCTTTAATATGTAGATTCTTTCTAAAAATATAGCTTCTAGATTATCTTTTCCCCACCAAATTACTTATATTTATTTATTTATTTATTTATTTGGATCTGAGTCCTTGACCTTGGTGTTAGAACACCGTGCTCTAACCAACTAAACTAACAGGCCAGCCTCTACCACCAAATAATTTAGTATTAATTCTATCTATTTGGGGGTTGAGGTAACTGGCCAGTTTGGGACCAAACTCTTGACCTTAGTGTTAATTCCCATGTATTCTTGTGTAAACTAAGAATTATACATTACATATATATTCAATCACAATCACAAGAATGTCTTCCTGAAATAACCAGGCAGCCATGGTATCTGGGCACCAACATTATAGTAATCTTACCAGATCAGAATTCTATAAGACATTCAGAATTTAATAAATACAGGCACATGGTATATGTAATAGGGACTTTTCTTATATCCCTAGCCTAAAAGAGATGCTGTTAAAGATTTAACAACATAGGGCCGGCCCGGTGGCGCACTGGACAGTGCGCCGCTTGGGAGTGCGGCGGCGCTCCCGCCGAGGGTTCGGATCCCATGTGGAGACCGGTTCCCGCTCACTGGCTGAGCGCGGTGCGGGCGTGACACTGAGGGTTGCAATCCCGTTGCCGGTCAGTAAAAAAGACAAAAAGACAAAAAAAAAAAAAAGATTTAACAACATAGAATTTTATTAATTTCACAACTTTATTAAAGTTTTTCATATATCTTTCTACCACCAAGATAGTCTAAAACAATTTTCTAATGAATATCATAAGAACCAAAATACAATCAAAAAACCCCAAAAAACAAAAACTGTAAAAAGTCTTAATAAAGTCCTGTATTTTATAGTTCATTAGTCAGTGCTATTGAAAAGAAAAGTAAGTAACTTCTGCTTATGGTTTCAGAATGCAAAGTGATCTCTCTCACTAGAAAGCAAAGGAAAGAATCAAAGAGTTGGACTTCTGACAGGGGCAAAGAAGAAAACTTAAATATTTAGAGGAAAAAAGATAGCTTCACACATAATACACTTTATATGTATATTTCCTAATGAGGAAGTTCTGTAACACTTCTATAGAAAATCTGTATTCTATTCTCCCTAAAAGGCAACAAAGAAAGAACTTGGCCTTAAGAGTGAGAAGAATATGAATTTGAAACCATGTGCTTCTACCTACAGTGAGTTAGTTAACCACTCTGAACTTTGCTCTCCTCATTTGTAAAATGAATATTTTAGAATAGTGTAGATGGAATGAAATTATGCAGAACTAAAAGGAATCAAGTTTCCTTGGTGGCAGTAGAATACCTGGTAACTTTCTAATGACTTCTGAGTGAGTACCATCAACTTTCAGAGTCTGTCATTTCAAGTACTATACTCCCAGAAGCATATTCCATAAAAATGGACAATTAGTCCATAAAGAGTTCAGTGGCCAAGAAATGTGAGAGGGACCAGATTTTAAAAGTTAAACAGGTTTCTTTAATAAAGACGTCTCAGAGCCTTCATTATGCCAGTATGCACCATAAAGGGATTAGGGTATGCAATCTAATATGATTGAAGACTTTTTTTCCTAACTGGGATCTTACAGGACCAGTATTAAGAAAACACAACTTGAAAACCACTGATAACAAAGGAAAATTCTTGGTAGGGTAAGTTGCAAAAGGAAAGAAACCAATAAAGAGAACTCAATATTTGAGTCATTTTATAGGTATTACCTCTTCTTCTTCCTGTGCTTCTACTGCTGGTCCGTTATGTGCCTCCTGGAAAAGGAGTTTCTTCATCTTTCGATACTGCAGATTGTCCAGCTCTCTTACTGCATCCTTTGTCCTTTGAATGAGATCTATTAACACTGTTTCAGGGCGCTCCCGAAGAACAAACATGTGCTGGATAGGGTAGAAGGTAAAAGTCACGTTGAAACTTTTTTTTTCAATTAGTGCAAATGTACCTGTTCTCAGACTCTACAGTTACCATGCCATGATAGATAATGCACATAATCTATAACTAATTCTATTGCACTTCTGACTTCTTATGTATACAAAATTATCATTTACGTACATATACTCTGTGCCTCCATAACTACTCTTGTACATTTTATAAAAACTTTGAACATAATACTTTTGTTGGCCAACTGAAAATGGAGAGTTGAAATAATCAAAGGGTCTAAACACTAAGAATTAACTCCAATCAGAGTCCTCAATAAAAGTTTACATATTCTAAGAACTGATGATTTCATGCAAAAGGCATGTTCAGTTCTTGAGTTACGTTAGGTTTCAACAGGAATGTATTTAGATATTAGATATTATGGGTTCCTTTATATGCACTGCATAAACAATATTCTTCATAAAACTCTAACAGTGAATTAAAAGCCACTATTTTATTGTGATTTTTATCACTAACATTTAATAAAGCTTAACCTTATCAAATACAGAAAAGTAGAAAGAACCGTTCTACCATTAGGATTATCACTGTTACATTTTGACATATATTTCTTTCAGAAATTTTCTATGCATAGAAATTGTTTTATAGATACATAATTAGCATACAGATCACAGAAAGACATCTTATGCCCTCCTTTGAGTTCCATGAGATATCCCTGAATTATTATACTTTTACCTCTGTTAGTTCAAATTTATTTCTTCTTATGCAGATTTGAACTATATATACAGTATTTTATTCTTTCACTGTCATAAGTATTATGCTATTTCAAACTCATAAACATAATACCTGCAGAATATTTCATCAAATGTTTGTGCCAAAATTATTTAACCATTACCCTAATTCTGGACAGGTACTTCTTATTTGTTCGCTTGTTTTTGGCAGCTGGCCAGTACAGGGATCCAAATCTTTGTCCTTGGTGTCAAAACACCATGCTCTAACCAACTGAGCTAACCAGTCAACCCCTTAGCAGGCATTTCTGATTTTTAATTCTGATATAAATAATTTCATACATTAAAATGTTTTTCTATTAATTCTTTTCCTTCATGATGGACTATGACAAAAAATGTAATTAGGCCAAAAGAAGCTCTTAATAGATACTTCCTATCATTTCAAATAGGGCTGCAACAATACTGTGACCAGTATTACTATGACCATTATGACCTAGCCAAATGAATACTGTATGCAGACTTGGGATCTAATTACCAAATATCTGACCCCAGTCGGATGAATTATTATTATATGAGTTAGAAGGGCTTCTTTTGCTGTTAGGCAAGCATAAGAAACCACATTCTTCCTTTTGCACTAGCTTGGTATGTACCACTATTTACAAAATTCAGTCTTCTTATGCAAAAAAATTAAACCTTATATATTTAAGTTTGATAGTTTTTTTTAACATATAGACCTTGCTTATTTTTTACTAACATAATTCCCAGCTATATTAAAGCTTTTGTTGCTATTGTGAGTGTCTATTTATTCGGGTTTTCATTTCTGACACTGTGAGTGAGATTACAGCCTGGAATTCCCCAAGCACTAATGAAACTTTATATTACTCTTCTACATACTGTGGCTGCAAATAATATTATCAAATATACATATGACTGTTCGTCTTATTTGTAGCTTTAATTTAACTGCTGTGTATCAGTGAAAATAAACTACTTTGAAATACTAAAAGATTAGTGTAAAAATAATCTACTTAAATCTTGCAGTGAAAAATCAAATAGGTTCCCAAAGAGATAGAGTAAAATCCTACTTATTATTGCCTAATCTACATCTTTTAAGAACTATATCAAATTCAACAATACTATTATTGCTATTAATAAGATGGTCCCCCAAATAAAATAATTTTTTGAGACCAGAAAGTTACCAATTATGTATTTAAATTAGTCAACCAAGTCTGCCGAAAACTGAATAGAACTTATATAATTAAAAAATTTCTTCCGGCGCACTGGATAGTGCGCCGCTTAGGAAGCGCGGCGGCGCTCCCGCCCGAGGGTTCGGATCCCACATACAGACCGGCTCCCGCTCACTGGCTGAGCGAGGCGCGGGAGCAACGCCGAGGGTTGCAATCCCGTTGCCGGTCTCCGGTCCGGTACGGGGCAACACTAAGGGTTGCGATCCGTTGCCGGACACGGAAAAAGACAAAAGACAAAAAAAAAAAAAAAAAAAAAAAAAAAAAAAAAAA